AGTTTCTCTTATACAATATTGATTATTGAGATCTTGGCATAGAGAGCCCTCAGCCCAGGAAACATTTGGTTGATGTTCCCCTAGCATCTAGAGTGTAGTCCAACAAGCTTTCAGAGCATCACAGGGCCCTAAGATGCACAAGCTTTATTATGAAAATTCTTCTATTTGTGGATACTCGTAGAGATTTTGTTTTCATCTTCAGGTTCCTTTAATGTCTTAAAAGAAGGATTGGTACAAAAAATTGCAAGCCTCACAGAAAACTTTGAAAAGAGTTTAGTGTAGTTGGGACTATACACGGTAGGCCTGAGAGTGTATGGCTTCCGTTCTTACTAATAGCAAAGGAGCTACTAGTCTCAAGCCTTTAGAAGAGAGGTAAACCAAATTCAGGGGTAGGGACTATCCTAATACTTCTTGACAGCAATATTGCAGATGCTTTTGGACCTTACAGGTACTATCCCATGTTGTGTCCCATGAACTATTCCAGTCAAATACAGTAGAACTAGAAAATGATTCATTGTCTTATAGGAAGGTCCAAATCTGTTTATATTTATTCAGGAGACTAAACAAATTTCTCAAGGAGTATATAAGATATGGGAATTTTTTTATCTTTAAAAAGCTGCATGTAGAACTTTCTATATGGCTGTGTAGTGGCTAGAGGACTTTGTCTAAACAGTGGAAGTTTTGGATATTCCTCCAATACAATGGATTTAAAACTGTGTGTTCTTTGTCTGTTGTAGTTTCTTCAGACTGAAATTACAGGCTGAGTTGCTTGAGGCCTTTAAGCATCTTTCTTCTGTTGTCACATTGATTTGTAAGAGTCAGGAAGAACAAGAAAATTAATTAAAAAAAAGGAGAACCCGAGACTTTAGCCAATGGTTATAGTGCTCACCTGGGTAGCAGAAAACTTCTAGTTCCATGTATTGCTCCAGGATTAAGTCTTCTTTTATCCACTTATTTATTCAAGCCTTAATCTTTCGGGACTGTCAGGTCTATTAGTTTCAGACAAGCATCCTAGTTACTTCACTGTTTATGGTGCCTAATGGAAGTTGTCACTCCTGGTCCTATCTTACTTGTGTGTTTTGAGACTTGATGTCCATACAAATATATACACTGTATATACACATATATATGCACACATGTGTATACATGTATTCAGATACATATGCATGCACTTATATTGTTGAATATAGCGTGGACATTAAGCAGTGCATAACTAGACATAAGACTAGAATCAGTAATGAAGCTTCTGGTGGACAGTGCCTGCCTGTTGTCTTTGCTAAGCAGCAATTAGAAAATGGGAATATAAAACGTGAGAGAGTATTCAGGAGATAGAAGAAGTAATAGTAGGTGGCTTTTTTGATGTTCATGTACATATAGATGTAGATACTTTTAAACTTGCAGAGGTGTAGCAAATACCGCAGATACAATGTTTTAACAAAAAGTCCTAGAATAGTGAGGCTTTGTGAATAGAAAGCAATGGCTTTAATCAAATTTCTTGAGAAACATAGTTGTGTTGCCTGAAACTGAGACATGGGCAGTCATGGAAAGGAATGAGCTCTTAGAAATCAAACAAGCCCCAAACAAAAAACTCCCGATAGTGTGGACAAAGGAGACGTTCATGGGTATGCTTTAGACAAAAAAAATCAAAGTTCAGAGTTTCTGTGACCTAAGCCATTATACTTTTTTTTTTACCATTCAGTATTGCTTAAGGCTATAGTTCCAAGAAATATGGTGAGCCTGTGCAAAAGCTAATTGCTTTTAAAAGGAAGGTTCCTATCTCTTACGAGCTGCTTTTCCCTGCTTTTCTTATTTACTTTGTCCTAGACTTTGCTGTTTGTTGGTCCCTTCTATGATTCAATTAAATTTGTTAACAGTAGGAAAAAGAAATCCTTCTGCTGGGTTAGTGAGTCAGCTCACAAAACCATGTAGTGTTAGTACTACACTGTTAATGCAAGAACGGGATAGAGTCATGTAACTAGAAGGAAGAGGGCTTGCTCTCATTTGGTGTTAAGGAGATATAAATTGACCAGCTGTTTGTGGGACACAGTTGTAGTTTGTTTAGATATTGCTGTATGATTTGAGTATTTTTCCTCAACTTTATATTTTCTTACTTGAGTTAAGAGAGAGGTAATAGTAGGTTGCTACTGGCTAAATGTGACAGCTCTTGTAAGTGTGACTTCAGCCCTGGCCAGGCAGAAGTCTTCTGGGACAGAAGTCAGCAATAACCAAACTAATAAAAGCATAGCTTCTAAACAACAACAAAAAAAATATAGGAGAATATCTTAATGTCCTTATGTATATTTTGTTCCTACGTATTTTCTTTTTTCTCAAAAAATCTGGAATTCTGAGGGTTCATAAGAGCCCATCTGTGTCAGCTTGACGGCATCACAGAAATGCCAACTACTATTGTGAGGTTTTTTTCTTAAATGTCTTTAACCTTCTTTGCAACTTGTTGAATATTGGAAAGGAGGTTTATATTCTGGAAATCCTGAAGTTATAATAAGAGTTATTTTTCTCATATTTACTTGAGTAACTTCTGAAAAGCAATTCTATCATCAGTTTTGGTTGAACTTGAGTATTCTACTTCTCACACTTTGACCTTGGTACAAGTTACAGTAGAATTTTAAAGAAGGAAGGTGTATAACTGTTCAAGTAGTTTATTTTGCTCTGTGATTCCTACACTGGTTTCATTAGGCATCAGTGTTAATAAATTAATATAGAACATTTTTATTTATGCAAAGATTATTGAAATACTACAATTTCCAGTTCTTAAATCTGATAGCACTATTTATCAAGTAGTATTGCTTCTAGACATCTGGTGGTATGATGTACACTGTTACCTGCTTTGCATCTCCTTGGGATATACTCTGGATTTCACAGCTATTAAAACTATAAAAGTTAAATTAAAATTATATAAAATAATTACTTCAATAATTTAAAGCAATATTTCTATGGTTTGCTCTAAAACTTTATTACTGTATATTCTCTTATCATTATTATCCTGGTATCAGTGAGCTAACTTAATTCTGTTTTTAATTCTTAGCATTGGGTCTAAATTTAAACATTAGGCCAGTATTCTATGGATGGCAAAATTCAGGTGAGGGAGTAATCTTTACCCACTGTGGTTTAGTCGGATTGATTTGCTTTTTGGAAGGTTTTAGCTTGGTGTTAAGCCTGTGTTTTCTTTTGTTTAATCACACTGCACCAAGCCTAATGATAATTCTTGCTAGAGAAGAATTCTCTTGTGCATTTCTTATGCCTGCTCTCATCAAATATTTGCAAGCAATCATAGTCATAAATTTTTTAGGACGGAAGGGACTGCAATATTCCAGTTGGCTTATTACATAATATAAGCTATAGATCTTTTTTTGTATTAATTTTTGTCTGAAATCTGATAGTATTTCTTTTTTTAGTCTTAAATTCTGAAAGCCCTTTCATATTTGATGTCTGAACCTATTTGAGGAAAGACTGAAAACTTGAACTGATAATTTTTGCACTTCCTAGTTTGTCAGTGGAAAGAAAGCTCTGAGAAGAAAGTCTTTGATACTATAATTCTAAAACTGAATATTTTGCTCCTGGTAATCTTTTCTGTTTCTTAACATGGTGTTTCTGTATACAAATCCCAAAGCATACTGTCATTCTAATTTAATTTTTTTTTGGCATCTTGTTTAAAAAGAATCAAAGGTACAATCCTGTACTTGTTCAGGAATTTTCTCTTTTTGGGACTTACTGTTATTCTGTCCTCACTCTCACAACTGAACTAGAATGTACAGAATGAGCAGTCTTGTTCCCTTTCTGGTCTAGTTGAGCTTAAATGTGGTGTAAAGATAAGAAATTAGTTTTGGAGTATGTAATCTGTTACACTGCAGGTAGTAACCTCTTTGCTGATGTGGACTCCAGTGTAGGCCAGCTTACTGTAAGTAGCATCTCCTCAGCCAAACCTTTAAAAGAACTCCTCCTTTTCCTTTGAAGTGATTTTACTAAATCAAGAATTCAGGAATTAAGTAGCAGCTGTTAGTTTAGAGTCTTACTGCCTTTTGCTAGTGAAAAGTTGTGCCTTTGCTGTGGAAGTTCAAGTTCAGTAACTTAATAAAATGAGTTCAGCTCAATGAAAATTCTTCTGAAAACCTTTGAAGCATTTCCGTATTTTTGTACACTACTTTGTAGCCAATAATTTTTAGCTGTATGTGTTTGGAATTATTTGATAATAAATTTTATATTGACTTGTTTGAATTTGTGAAGTTAACTTTAAAACCTGTATATATTATCACTCTGTAGTAAAGACAGAGAAATTGCATGAGGTGTGGATATTTAAATAGTGCCCACCTACTTGCACGCATTATTTAAAGGCAGTTTTTGTGTTAGATCCTATTGCTGTATAAAAAACCCTTGCTATTTCTTAGAACTCTTGGTTTAAGAAGTTTGAGGGAAAGCTTGAAGACAAAAATTTAATGTGACAGTTAAATGTAAGTAGGAGATGCATATAATTTTCCTTATAAGAAAGTAATTGAGAAATAAAACATATTAGAAATGTCCATAACTATTTTCATTAGATGTGCTCATTTGTTTGAAAGGAAGAAATCATCTATATATTTGACATTTGTAACTTTGAAAAACAAAGTATTGCGATTCTGTAGGGCATTTCCTTCTTTATAGGTATAATTATGCTGAATGTGTGTTGTTTTGCTGTATTTTGTTTAACAGAATGACATGACACCAGTCCGACTACAGTGGGGAGAAATTCTTATGCCACTGCTGAAGAAATACAAGTTGAACATAACATGGGGTGATCAGGATCTATTGAACATTATGTTTTTTCACAATCCAGGTAAATCTACATTGATTCTTAGTCTAACATGACAAAGTTGGTCTTTTCTATGATGTTCAAAAATCCGATAAAATACTCATTTGGCAGACTTCGCAGTGAAAGTATGCAAAGGACTTTTTACTACTTTCATTTTCTGAAAGTGTTTACTTTGAGAGAGGACTGGAGCTTGCTGGGGTGTAATTAGGTGTTAAGTTTCAAAACAACTGTACTTAAATTTATGAAGCAGCCTGAATTAAAAAAAAAAAAGAAGATTAATATATTTCCAGAAAAAAAAATGTTACTTAATCTAGAGTTCTCCTTTTTCTGCACAGAAAGTCTTTATGTCTTTCCTTGTCAATGGAATTATCGGCCTGACCACTGCATCTATGGAAGCAATTGTAAGGAAGCTGAAGAAGAAGGTATCTTTATTCTTCATGGAAACAGAGGTGTTTACCATGATGATAAACAACCAACTTTTAGGGCTGTCTATGAAGCAATAAAAAATGTAAGTGTTTTCAGCATTGTACTTGTGCAAAGCTTTTTTCTGTGTATTTTTATCTACAGTGCTGCATGTATTTTGTAGATTTTGTTGATACTTACCTTGATTGCAACAAAGTAAATTTTTTTCCTCTTTTAAGTAATGTTAAGTGTTTGACCAATTTTTTGTTTACCACTTGGATAGCATTCCAGTGTATTCCTTTAGTGATGAACATCTTTTGAAACATGGTGTTTCCTATGACTAGATTAGGATTCTAAAACATTGCCTGTAGCTGTTAATGTCTATTTAAAAGCCTTTGTTCCTTTAATAAATACGTCTAATAAACTGTTTGTGCATTTGGAGATCACCAGAAGCATCGTTTTTCTGGAGATTTTAAAATCCAGAAAGAATTCTTTCTTAACCAAAGTTTGTATGTATTTAATGCAACATTTTAACATTTAGTTGTAGATAGATTTGGTTTGTAGAAAACACTTGTTTTTATATACTGTTTTGACCTCTTCTGGAGCTTCAGTGTATTAATGTGTTGCTGTTCCTTTAAATACAAAGCGCAGTGACTTATTTTCATGCTGCAAATAAGTAATCTAATAAACTATTTATCACTACATCAGTATACTCACTGAAGAGCTGTAAAATTTAGCACTTATGCACTTTTTAATGTAGCAGGCTATTGTGTGCATATAACCTTCAAAAATCAATAGTATATTTTAATGGTGCTTTATTACATGTTGTCATATACATATAAAAATGAAGAAAAGTACTTTTGGGGGTCTGAGAATACATTGCAGGGAAAGTGAATGTGTTTCCGTAAAAATATGATTTCTTTGTTTCCTTTGAGCATTGTCAAAAACAGAAGAAAAAATTACTTCTTTTTATTTATGATCCCATTTGGTTTATGTATATGTTGGAGAAAGTATGTAAAACACTACTGATTCAGTGGTAATAAGATGAACAAAATTATGTTACTTAGAAATGCTGTTTTAGCTTATCATTTGTTTATAAAAAATATTGCACTGTTGAATTAATGACTTCTTTATTTCCTGTCTGTTAAACACTGAATGTGTTTGACCATCATTCAGTTTAATGAAACTTCAGTAGGACCACTTTTCATACTGTTGTTTCATTATAATTTGATAAGAATTATGTTCTGTAAAAGTTATATGTCATTCAGTCAAAGTTACTCTTCAACAAATAACCAGAAATCATTTTAGATCTGTAAATTTTTAATTTAATAAGGTAATTTTAGATTTCTTCCTTGTCCACCTGGATACATTCATTTACCTTTTTTTTTTAAAAAAAAAAATCTTGCTTGTTAGGCTTATTGGAAGCATTAGAGAATATTTCTGTAATTTAGAGGTGCTTTTCAAATATTGCATTCAGAAGCTCTCTGCTTGGAAACATTTAGTAAGCCTATAGAAAACAAATATGATATTCAAAGGCATTCTTATAAGACTCTTTAATAACTCTGAATAGTGACGCTATTTTAAATCTTATTTTCTTAACCTCTTTACAGTATTCATTTGGAGATGATCTGGTTCATTCCCTGTTGCAGCCCCTGGAACTGGAATTACAGAAAACCGTGCATACATATTGTGGAAGAGTATACAAAGTGTTCATAAGGCAGCTAACAAAAAGCATAAGAGACTTGTATGCCAGAAGATCAAAGGGAAGGTGATTTTTACTTTAAGCTTTTAAATAAGGAGACTGAATTAACATACTGGTCAAAAGGTGCAAAAATTCTAATATGGCTTGAACCAACTCAATGTGCCCAGATAAAAGTTTACTAGTGTACATAAAAATGAGGAAGATACTCATGTAATGAAGAACAGAAACTTTTTTCTGCAAAGGTGACTTTTTGCTCTTTTGAAATTTAATCACTGCTAATGTTTATCTTGGATCCAGTGATTTGGGTGTTACTGGCTTCTATGGTCAGTAGTTTTAGTCTGCATAATTCAGTTATCTAATGATCAAATGAACAAGGAAGAAATGAAGATGGCTCTGTTTGGGGGTGTACCTCATATTATCTGAAATTCTCTTAAACTGTGAATGTAGCAATAACTGAGTCAGCAGCACTAACCTCACTTTTAAAGGTGTGAGCCTTTATGTAAACAAAGTTGTTTACAAGTGCAGAAAATACTCTGTTTTCAAAGAAATGTGATACAATCATTGGCAATGTGTATGTGCCTTTATATATTCATCTCTTACATGTTGAAGTACTGTTTTGACAATCTTGTTTTGCTTATCTTAGATGTAAACTGCACACTGTAAATATGATTTTCTGAGAAATGAATAACTAGTATGTGATACTAGTTCTCTCTGTAGATACAGAGACTTTTTAGTACACAGCATTTGTTTCAACCTTGTTGAGCCATCATGGCCAAAAGACAGATCAGAGGTGTTTTTTTAGCAAATATTCAGTATGAAGTTGTCTGTCTTACAATATTTCTTAAATTGCATGGTTTTGCAGCTTTATAGGGCATTTTGGAAGTAGAAAAAAAGAAGTGTAAAATTCTTGCTGTCATATTTCCTTACTCAGAATTATTACCTGATGATTATTACAGAGTGTTTAGTACCTAAAAGTGAAGAGCTGTAATAAGAGTGCTGATGTTTCATCAGACTGTATATTAGATGGGTTTCTTAGAGAATATATGCTGTTACTGTGTTTTTTTAATAACATGGCTTTAAAATAGTTTTGGGGCAGACCCTCAACTACATGAATGCATTACTGTCAATGGGATGATAGTGATTTACAACAGATAAGGATTAGGCTTTCTTTAGTTATCTTAGTGGAAAAAAAAAGTTCTGTTTATGTAATACAGACTTTTTTTCAGAGGAAATAATGAAGAAAAAAGCTGAGTTCTAGTGTTACAGTAAAATATTATTTAAACTTGCATGGTATGAAATGTATTTGTAAAGTATATTTAAACTTGGATAACCACTGAGATGAAGTCTTCATAAAGTGAGTTTTTGGATTCCAGAAAAGTTTGTGTGTTGGACATGGAGGATCCACTCACTGACTTGCACCTTCATCCCAATCCCATTTTAGCTTAATTTTTGTGGCTGTTTCTTTGCCAGAGGCAGGCTGGTGCTGACTCCCAGATCCATGCGGGCTGGATGAATGCTTTAGCAGTAGAAAAACACACTCCATTGTAAGCAGAGTTTATATTCTGCTCCTAATCTCCCTGCTGGCTCAGGGTGTACATTTCTGGGATGGAAACAAGGAAGAAGACTGACTCCCTTTCATGTAGTAATGTTCTCTTTTCCTTGCTATGTAACCTTTTGAAGTCTGAAAATCTAGAAATCTCTGTGAAGGTGGATACTGTTATTGACTGATTTTACAGTATACAATGCATTATTTTTTTACATAAATACTGATTTTTATATCAATTTGTTGTCATCTTTTTTTTTTACTTTGTGCGTATTTAACAATTCTTTCAGCCCGTTTTTTGTGTTTGCACTAACTTTCAGTTTTGAATTGATTTTTAGTATGTTGTATGCAAGTGAAAATACTGCTTAAAACCCAATGAACCATTTAAAAAAAATGGAATATGAACATTAGCAGCAACCTTTCCATTTAAATTTCAGTTTTTGTGCAGGATTAGAACAAAAAGGCTTAATATTGAAGTTTATCATAGGATTAAAATTATTGCTTTGTGCTTGCTTCGAGATGTTTACGTAGCATATTACAAATACTGCCTAATATGAATATACTGCCTAATGACATAGTTTTTCTTTACTTTTTATTAATATGAATTTAAACTGCTCACCTCAACTATCCATTCCCAAGGGAATGGGTCTGGTTCTGCTTGGAATGTTTAGGAACATGTCAGAAACAAAGGTGAAGGTATAATGAATTTTCTACATGTGCGTTATTGGTCTCTCTTATTTTGACTGTAAATAAGAATGATGCACCACTGCTTATTTATGTTTATGGATGTGATTGTATCTGTGGTGGATTAAACGGTGTGAAACTGAGGGGTAAAATCAGTCTTCTGCTCTTTTAGCTTATCTGTAGGAAGCCACTAGACTTCTGGTTCCTCCTACCTGGTTTATAAAGGTGTCCCCAAAAGCATGGGTGTATCTAGAATTTCCATTTCTTAGAAGTCTTGTTCTTTTTCATTGTCTAGTTTCTATTTCAGATTACAAGATTTTCAACTATCGAGCAAGTTTAACAATATCCATTTACTGACTATGTAATTTTTTTATTACCTGGTTGAGTGAAATACTAATGTATAATTTAAATGAATGTGTAGGCTGTTTGTGTCTCCACTTATTTTTTTTTAATGAACTATCCATTTTGAATAACTATTATTTTTACATTGTCCCCTGTGGTATCTAATGTGATTACCATAGTTATCATAGATTCCCTGCCTACTTCGCTACTTTGTTAGTGAATGGCATTTAGAATTGCTCCAGTAATTTTGTATAATAAAAGAAGTTGCAGAGAACTGTAATGTAAGGGTATGGCTTTTTCTGTATTAGCAGGAAGTGGGTTCTTTTGTAGCATAGACAGTAGAAGTGTGAAGTAATGGGAAGGTACTTCTCATTGCCATGGATCTTGGAACAGATCTTAAATGTTGCTGTTGCTGTCAGTCTGAGCACTTCTGTGCACAGAAACGCACAAAAGTGATGTCATAACTTGTATTTTTCAAAAGGACCTTAAGTATTTTTCTGTCATGTTTCTAATCTCTTTGGATATCTTCTGTTCTGTTTCTTTTTTGGCACTTCAGTTCTGTCCAGCTGAATTTATTTATGTATTTGAGAAGAATGACTTAAATTCCTACAAAGTTTTACACAAATAACAGCCAAGTTATTTGTTCAAGTTGCCCAAGTGTGCAAAGTATGACCCCAGCAAGCCAAATTTAAAAAAAAATAAACACTAGTGTATATACTTTAAGTTCCCTTAGAAAAAAGAAAAATGTTGTTTGATCCAAGTTTAGCTCTACAGAGAAACACTTACAACTTGCTTTCTGTATTTAACTGCCAAATCTTAAATAATGCAGGATAATTTTCTCTAGAAATGCAGGTTGCTTCACAGTTGCTTTGTAGTCCTAGTAGACTACTAGATACTGTTACTCAGGTTTAAAAACAGAAGGTGTTTGCAGAGGTAATAGTGAATTTTCCACTTCAGGAAATGAGGAGAAAACCTCATTTTAAAGTAGTTCTTAAAATCTCTCTCTTGCAACCACTTAGTAGATCTAAATGAGAACAGCTTGTCCTCCAAGGTTGTAATAAAATTTAAGATTTGTGGTTCTCCAATGCATTTTTAACACTTCGTGGGCCTATTGAAATTTTTAATTTCTTGAAGGGAATATTAAGTAATCAGAAATTCTTGCACTGAATTTCAGTTGTGTATCTTCAATTTTGTGGTTGCTTTATGCACAACTGCATTCAGTTCTATAGAGAGTCCTCATTTAAACTCATGAATGTGCATCTTGCTGTATATTTGCTAGCAAATTTTTACAAGGCTTCTTTCTTCTCCCTTCCCTCTTTTCCCTGCTCTGCTTTTAAAAGATAATCACTAAGCTCTTCTTTCATTTGAACGCTTATAAAAATTACGGGAGATATTATTACAGGTCTCTTTGCAGAGACCTGTAATTAAAGGAGGACCTGTAGTCCTACTGTAGTTGGATTTTTTTTTTTCCTTCGGATTGCTCTTTGAGGATTTTGAACGCTTATAAAAATTACGGGAGATATTATTACAGGTCTCTTTGCAGAGACCTGTAATTAAAGGAGGACCTGTAGTCCTACTGTAGTTGGATTTTTTTTTTTTTTCTTCAGATTGCTATTTGAGGATGTTCAGGTAGGAAGAATTTTTGAGCATTTAATAAAGTCATTATGTTCCTCGAGTGATCATCTGGTGGTTTCTTCCCTGAATCAATTAATATTATCCTTGTCCTCTCTTATGATAGCTGCTTGGCTGCTGTCTGCTTGCTTGATCTATATGATTGCAAGTTCCTTTAATCAAAAGAGGTGGCTGTCACTTCTTCTAGATGTGTGTTTTAAACACTCATCCCGTATCTGGATGCCACCTTAGTTGCACAAACCAGGGACCTAGTGTGTTTCCACTTTTAGATGTCCATCTTTGATTTAATTTCCCTGTTTTAGTTTCCAGCTGGACCTGTAGGGCTAAAATAGATAACAAGGAATGCAGAATTTTTCCCCAACAGAATCTAGAGAACTACAGGTTTCTGAAATATAATTAACAATTTTGAAATAGTGTTCTGTCTTTGAGTCTAATTGCTGATTTGGTAGATGTAAGGGTTAGCATCCTTCGTTTGCTCAAATAATTTGACTTTTCCTATGTCGGCCTTTTATGTGGAGGGATGGGCAGGTATCTCTTAAAAGACTGGTTCCCTGTTTACTGTGAACTCCAAGGAAAGAAACCGTTAAGTCATCCCTATAGATCCTTAGTATCACCCTGTCTAAACTCTTTGTAGCCAGTAATAACAGCCCACTCGCTTGCTGCTATTTAGTGGTACTGGTTCTAGTTGTTTTCTAATGGTCATGCTGAAAGGGGAGGGGAAAAGATGCAGTTATTCGAATCTCCTTGTTCCTGCCCTGCTGTCTTTAGAATTCTGCATGATATGTAACAAAACCGACCGCCAAACCCCAACTTTCTGCATCTGGTTCAAAGCCACAAGAGAATAAACTTCATAGCTTCTCCTGACACATTAACACCTTCATTTAGGAACATGCTTTCACTGGTTATGGGCCTTACTCATAGATTAACAGTCAAGACCAGTTTCCTTGCATCGTTTATCAAAACAGGTCTGCAAGAGCAGGTTTGATATAGTTTGTTGCTGTTTAAGAATGCCAAACTTGTAATTGGCGTATTATGTTCCCAGAGTAAGTCAGAAGCTTGTAAGAATATAATCTAAGTCTACAGTCTTTAAGACTTAAAACTGCTTTTCAAGTACATGTTGAACTAATATTCTCACTCGAATTCCCCTTTCTTCCCTCTGTGCTGTTTTCCACGGATATTTTATTGATTTGTTTGTCTTTTTAGAACAAAGCAAAA